CACTCACCCTATTTTCTGTTACGGTAAATTGAGTCTTAATAATCAATAATACTATGTTTTATGAAAAATTAGAAAAAATCCTAAAAATAATTACATCTAACTAATGGAACTGGAATCGGTCAGTTTATATTTGCCCTAATTTGTCTATGTTGCCTATTCATTTTCATATGCTACCTAAATTGATTATTATTTTTCCACGTGCTTTAATTATTATTTTTAATTATTTTCTTATTTATTGATTATATAATCGTTATTTTCTTATTTGATTGACTGATTAGAAATAAAGGTACTGAATACGTTTCTTGGTTATTAAGGTATCAAATTGTATTGTTTGCATAAATGTCGTTTAATTAATATGTGAATATGATATGAGTTGCTGGTATGCACTTGGTGGTTGTTTTGTTGATGAAGATCTTTATGTGAAAGGCTTATTGGGTATCTTGAAAAATAGCAGACGTGCCCGATACATAAAAAATCCTACCGTAAATATTATCTTAATCGGACGAGACTGAAAAGTCCTATACTGGAAGGGTTTGATAGATATAATTCACCATTATACCGGACGAAGTATCGAGACAATAAAATATTTTGTGCTTATTGCCATACGGGGTATGAGGTCAGCCGGTTAATTAATAAATTTGAATATTGGGTTCACACATAGGGGGACATCCATGTTGATCCCTAATGGTACCAATAAGCAGGTAAAAAAGAAAATTGCCGTTTCTTGTTTACTTGCGCATGAAATCGAAAACTTGTATGGATATTGATTTTCATAGGTTAATTTTTAAAAAAACTCATAACGTTAAGTATGTAATAAACGGTGTTTTTCATGATAAATGAATTTATTTAAATTAAGGAGTTTATTAGTTATTTTTGTAATTTTTAATAACCTTCAATTTTTCATATTAGTTATTAGTGTGATATTCTTATTATGTTAGTGTAGAGCACTTTTCTATTAAACATTTCAATATCTAGATTCCGATCAGTAAAAAGGTTGTAAATAGTTTACTTTTTGGATCCCTTCAAGAGCTAGTGAAAGTTAACCCGTAAGATATTTATATAGTTGTTTTAAATCATTTATTTGATTCTTTTTACGAGCCACTGTAGTAGGAATATTTTTGTAACCCTTTTGGGCATTCTAATTTATTTTGTAAGGAATGTAAACCCTAATATTATTGCTTACCTCCGCATTTTAAAATACAAATTTATTTTCTTTAATTTATGCGTCATTACATTGTTAAAATTATATTTTAATACAAATTGCTAAAATCATATCTTAATATTTTATTTGTTGGAAATTATAATTAAAGATTGGGAAAGTTTTTTTTTTTGTTTTATTTATGATATATTTATACAAAACCTAGATATTCAGAGTGAGTCCCTAAATTAGAAGAAAGTTATTATTGTTATTTATGTGCATATTTTAGTACTCTATGAGATGAGCTTATTATTAATTTTATTTTATTAAAAGAACAAAGTTTAGTATATTTCAAATTACAATTTATGAAGGTCAGTATGTACTTATAAGTGAGTATGTTTATAATACAGTGTAATTCTTAGATGGTTCTGATTCTAATAGATAATGGTAAAATTTTTAGTTAATTTTAATATATTATTTAAGCAAATTAATTTTTTTTAAATATAAGTAAGTAAATATATTTACACCAACTAATTTAAAGTTTTTTAAAAATAATTTTTAAAAGTTAATTAATTTGAAATTAGTAAAGTTTTATACAACAACGAATAAATTTTTTTTTATAATATAATATATACGATTTTTATGCTCGATACATACTGAAATTATGATATCTAATTTGAACCAAAATATGAATTACGAGTGTACCAAATTAGAACAATAATTTAGGGAAACTGTTTAAAAAGACATATATATATATATATATAGATATGAAATCAATGAGATTCATAATTGTTTGGTTTAACTTTGATTGATGGTTGTCATGTCTTCGCAAATAGCAATATTGATGCATGCACGTGAAACGGGCCTCGATTGCATGTATATATATATATATATATATATACATGCGAACATATATTATAAGTAATTGATTAACTAAACTCTTCCATCCCCATAATGCAACTTGCTTCATTTCATCTAACCTAAAATAAAAATTCAAGGCAAACATAAATATCGGTTATTAAATATAAAGATTCAAATATATTAATATTGAAAAACAGTGAGATTTTAATATTCAAAATAACTAATAATTGGTGTTATAAAAATTAAATTTCATATATTTAAATTATTAAAATTCCTCAAACTAAAAAATTAGTTTTTTTTTTGTTTTTAGTTTTTTTTTTAAAAAAAATAAAATTATTTGTTTTATAATTCTTTTTCCCACATTATAATTTTTTCAAATATGTTCAAGAAAATTTAGAAATTAAAAAAAAAAAATCTAGAAACTTTAGAAAAGAGATGCCCATAAAATAAAAAGAAAAGGCAACAATTACTCTCTTCAAACAAATGATTTACATTATTTTTGTTGTGTGTGTGTGTGTGTGTGTGTATATATATATATGTATATGTATAAAATAAAGGATCTAATCATTAGCTTATCAAAGTTGGGAGCTTCCGTTTGGGGGTTAATGTGTAATTTGAGTGAAAATGAAGGGCTTTTTTTGTAAATTCAGCAAATCCAGGACAAGATATGGAAACCAAGTGACAAGAAAACCTGGAGATAGGGGATAGGGATGTATACGTGCTTTGCTTGTTCCTACTTTTTATTTAAATTATTATTTTAAATAACATTTTAATTTAATTTTAAGTTATAAAAATGTATAAATTCAATTTTAAGTAAAAAAAAAAAAAAAAAAACTTGTTTAATTCCATTCCGTTCCATTTTATTATTTAAATGTTAAAAGTATTATCTTTAATTTTATTATTTTGGGGAGGAAGGGGGTTTTTAAAGAATATAAAATTAATATAAATAAAAATAAAATTAAGAAATTATGGTTGTGGAGTTTCAAATGATTGTGAGGAAGGGAGTGTCGGAGAGTGGAGGGACAAGATGACAACGCACGACCGTGTGCGTTGGGCCCCACGTGGAGCACGTGTACCGAGGCTAAGACATGTTGGTTCACGTGACCTTTGTTTTTTTTTTTTTTTAATTTTTTTAAAAACTTGCATTTTCACACTTTCCCCTTCCACGTGAACTCCACTCTCCTTTGTCTTCTTTCTCTTAGCCCACGTACCTTCCTTGTTTTCTTCCTCCTCAAACCATTAATTTTTTTGAATACAATATAATATAAAATTAATTATTATATTCATAAATTACATAGATAAATTGGATAATTTCAAATGATAAATATAAATTTTCTGGATTATTGATATAAATTCTCTACAAATTTTAGATTTATTACAGATATATTCTAAAACTCATATTAATAAAAAAAAAATTAAAAATTTAAATAACTTGGATTGTTATATTTTGAAAATTCAAAAAATCTAAAATGAAGAAATATTACAAGGTCGAACTTACGTAAATACTTTTTAATGAAAAAATTTATCTTTTGGTTTTAGTAAAAAGGTTAATAGCGACAGGAGATATCAAATAATTTTTTACACCCGATCCATCTCATCTCAGGAGTTACACGCTATCTTACTTTTAGGACCACCTACTTTCCCACGCGATTTCCATCCCCATCCCTTCAGTAACCGATGAACACGCGCTCCAATGCGGCTGTGCAATATGGAAAGTGAAAAGGAGTTTGTTTTAATTGAAAAGGTTTAGACAACGACGCTTTTGTCTTAGTAATATCTCGCGGGTAAAGAAAGGAGAGATTTTTTTTTTTTCCAGAAAATAAAATTTAAAAAATAAAAAAAAGGGAGGACTTAATGTGGGTCCCACATTTCATTAATATTAAATAAAATAACAATTATTATTTAATTAATATATATATACACACACACACACACACATACGCTAGTGTGTCTGGTCCCAATCATAACAATCCACTCATGATTTGATGGTTGTCAAAGCTCAACTGGCTTCGATGGTTTTTGGTCCCAATTATATAGCGCAGGATATGAGGACCCCACAAACAAATAACCCACAGCCGTTGGTTGTTTCCGTCCCGGATTTGATCACAGCCGTTGATGTTGGTTCTGTGGTGGGCCCACCCTTACTAGTGTGTGAAGATTCATTGTGATTTTGCATCATCTCCAGTTGGGATTTGGGACAAACAATTATGACCCTAAGACTACTCCTCATTAATTTGGTGAACATTGTATGGGCTTTTCCCCCCAACTATATCCCCCCCTCCCTCCCAAAAAAAAAAAAATCTACATTAATTAATAAAAAATTTAAAGTTACAATAAAACATATATATATTTTTAATAAAAAGATAGATCGTTCTAACCCAAGTTAAACAAGTTCGGTTAAAAAGTTTGTATATGTAAAAGTACACTATTTTCGAATCTATAATTTTTTTTATTAAAAAAAAAAAAGAAGAAGAAGATATTAGTAAGTAAAAATAAGCATAAAATGGAGTGAAGTAGGTTAAAAAGAGAACTAAATCATTGGTTGGGAAGAGGAATTTAAGCATTAATTGGAGAAATAAATAGTTTGAATTGATTAATGTTTGGTATATTGACCGAAGAGAGAGGTGGTTGATCAACGATTGTCAAAAAAAAAAAAAGGGTTTGAATGAAGCATGCCTTCGTCAAAACTAATTATAATCAATTACCCACCAACAAAAATCAGCATGCTCATTGCCATTTTCATCAACCATGGTATGTTGCATGCCACATCTAATTTTATTACTATTACTTGGCTTTCATTTTTTTAAATCAAAATAATGTTTTTTTATTTGGTTATTTTTTATTTTAGAAAGTAAAAGAGGTAAATGGGTAGAGTTAGGTATTATTTGAGAGGGGGGAGGCAAGAGCCATGATTGAGATAATTGGGTTTCTGACAACATGTCATCATTCAACTTACACACCACTACTTGCACTTGTATATATATATTAACCTCCCTCCCCCCTCACTTCCTTTATCCTCACCTCCTCAAACCTATAAAACTCCTTTACTTTCCTTCAACAACCAATTCCTTCTCTCTTTCTTATAATAATCATACACTATACAAGCTTAAACCCAGTTGCAGAAATGATGGTTGACAAGGAAGATCTGGGTTTGAGTCTCTCCTTGAGCTTCTCTCGTCCTCTCCACCTTAATCTTCTCTCTTCTTCTTCTTCTTCCTCTGCTCATCCTCCTCCTCCTCCCCCTTCTAACTTACCTCTCAATAAGCCCTCTTGGAATCTCCCCTTCTCCTCACCTTCAGGTATATATACATATGCATACTCTCTCTCTCTCTCTCTCTCTCTCTAATCACTACTCCTTTTTGGTTATCGTTTTCTTTTTACCTCTCAAACTTCTTAACCCTTTTGATTCTACACATTTTTTTTTACAACTAATCAATATTAACAACAATCACCCCCAATTATTTTTAACGAATCATTGATATTTCTGTAGCTAATTCCATCATCTTCCATGCAGATCCAAACTCCGAGGCCTGCCGGGCGGAGACAAGATCATTCCTCCGTGGAATAGACGTTAACAGATTGCCGTCAACCACAGATTGTGAAGAGGAAGCAGGCGTATCCTCTCCCAACAGCACCATATCTAGCGTCAGCGGCAAGAGAAGCGAGCGAGAAGGTAACGGAGAGGATAATGAAATCGAGAGAGCTTGCTCTCGTGGTATCAGCGATGAAGAAGACGGTGATACATCAAGAAAGAAGCTCAGGCTATCTAAAGATCAGTCTGCGATCCTCGAGGAGAGCTTCAAGGAGCACAACACTCTCAACCCGGTAAGTATATATATATTTTTTTCGCGTCGTCTGTTTGGTTGGCGAGAAACTGAGGGAAATGGGTTTTCGGTGGTACGGATCTTGAATCCTGACCCACTTGAGGGAGTGAAATGAGGAAAAAGTGGTGCACTTTCCTTGAGTTTTTCTCGGCAACCAAACAAACAAACAGCCGGGTCGAAAAAGTCCCGTGCTTTCGATGTGTATTTCCGAGGAAGGGTATATTTGTAATTTAAGTAACAAATGGTTGGCTTTTATTACGCCTGCAGAAGCAAAAGTTGGCTTTGGCCAAACAGCTGGGATTGAGGCCCAGGCAAGTAGAGGTCTGGTTCCAGAACAGAAGGGCAAGGTGAGATTTTTCTTCGTGTCGAAGGGTATTCTAGTCATTTGACAATTAATTTACCATAATACCCTTTTGGGTCGGTCCAATTCACTAAAACGTGTTTTGCACAGGACTAAGTTGAAGCAAACGGAAGTGGACTGCGAGTTTCTGAAAAGATGCTGTGAAAATCTGACGGAGGAAAACAGGCGGTTGCAGAAAGAAGTACAAGAACTGAGAGCACTGAAACTCTCCCCGCAATTCTACATGCAGATGACCCCACCTACGACTCTCACCATGTGTCCGTCATGTGAGCGTGTTGGGGTTCCACCATCAGGCGCATCCGCATCCGCATCAACTCCCGTAGAAGCGCGGCCTATCCAGATGGTTGGACCCACCCACCACCGTTCGATTCCCATCAATCCGTGGGGATCAACAACTGCCGTCGCACACGGGCCGTTCGATGCTCTTCGTCCAAGATCGTAATTAGGGGGGAAGGGTGTTTGTAGGTTTAGTTGAAAGAAGTCATAGTTCCAAGATATGGTGGTTAGAATATATATGATTTGGTGGGGTCTTTCATGTTTTGTAATATTGACCGACCCATGATCTATATATAATGTTTGTTTTTTGAAAAATAAAAAAGAAAATGTTTTGACATATTTTGTGTATTTCTCTTCTCTCTTTCAAGACAAAGGAAGTTGGGGTTTGAATGTAAATTACTTAAAAAAGTTTGACTGATTAATTAATTACCTTAAAAAAATATTTCCCCATTTTCTTCAACATTTCGGAGACAACTCCCGGATTATGCGGACACTTATTTACTTTTAATTATTATTATTTTATAATAAAAATATTCACTTATAATACCATAATAATAATAATATAATCTTTATATTTATATATATATATATATATAAAAGAAGAAACTTGATAATTACTGTTATTATTAGAGGAAATTTCATTTTTATATTTTTCGTTTTGATATGTTTTATTTTGGCAATTTCAGTATCAGAGTGTTTAATTAAACCAGTTAACTAATGCTCCGATGGGCGTATCCTTCAATTCTCTTTAAATTTGTAAACTTAATTAATATTTTAATTACGTTGTCAAAATAAATTTCGAATTGAAAAACCTAACACCAAAAGTGTCAAATTTTAAAACTTCCACCGTTTCATATTTCCATCACACCTCACATTAATTCTCTTTTACCGAGCTAATTGATAGATTAATTTATTTAATACAAACTTTTTTTTTTTTTTAAAAAAAAAAAAGATTATTCAACAGCTAATTTTATGTTATTGTTTAGTTCTTCGTAAAATCAAAACATTCAAAAATCTATTCAGTTATCGGATTTATATATTTGAATTAATTAAATTGACTGGTAAATTTGGTTGGTTCATGCAATTTGATTTAATTAGATGTTATCTGTGTAATTTTTATTCTAAATAATGTGTGAAAAACTTGTAATTGATTATATAAGTAATAATAAACAAAAAGAACAATCAGAATTGTTTTTTCAGTGTTGGGTCAAGTTGGGTCGGGTCGGGTGTTAAAAACCCAAATCAGTAGGCCCATCTAGTTCAAAACTTATATAACATATTATTCATAGGAATTTAGATATCCGGAAATGTGGTTGTTAAGAATAAATCATCTTTGTGTTTAGTTTATAGCGTAAGAAATCTGTATTAGATCTTTCAAATTAGTACGTAGTATTTTAAGTTATTTTAATATCTCTATTTTTGGTGATAAGACATCACAACAATAATTTGATGACCATAACCGTCTATTTATAAGTAAATTTATTTGTTAATTTTTTATATTTTTAATTTGTCCCGTCATAAAATTATAAATTATATATTTAATCTTTATAGATACAAATAAAGTCTACACTTTAATTTAATACATTAAGACTCAATATACAATTGACCGTATCAGATAACTTTTAACCGTGTCCAATTAATTTAATAATTTTTTATGCACAATAATTTACATATATAAACTTACATGATAAATTAAAAAAATCCAATGATTAATTGTTATTTTCCTTCCATGAGTTTTTTTTTTTTTTTTTTTTTCTAAAAATTATCAATTAGTGTAAGATTAAAATTTATTATCCAAACAGTAGAATAGTATATACCTATTGTACTAACAATTATAACATGTCACAAGTAGTAACACATAAAAAAATAACTTCACTTTATATAAAATAAAAAAAAGAAACTGTCAACTGATGCAGATAGTCTCAATAAGTGCATGCATTTATGTTCTGAATTTTGTAACAGTAATAGCATTTAGTGGGAATTTATATTAGTTTACATTATTTGATTGTAGCATTTGATAATTAATTATTTTTTAAAACATTTTTTCATAGTATAACTCTAGATATTAACTAATGCAACAAGAGTGTGTTTTTGGAAGAGGTTGTTGAGTGTAAAGGAGAATGGTGTTAAGTAGAGCCATTAACTAGTAGTAATCCATGATTAAAACAATCAAGGGTTTTGTAAATTACATGCACACATTCTATTAAAACCAAAACAGATAACAAAAATTTAAGCCCTTTAAATGTATTAACATAAA